CAGGGAGCGGGGTGCCGGGGTCCCCCGGGCCTGTCCCCTCGGAGGCGTCCGGCGGCGCCGTGTCCGCTCCCGGAGAAAGTTTTAGGCAAATAAATTGCGAAAACGCTCCGGTTTATTCCTTCCAACAGCTTGTGCGTTACCCCTCTGTGGTGTTTCATTCCCGAGCCTGCGAAGGGATGAGTGCTCTCGTAGTGTGTACCTGGTTTTTGTTCTTCTTTTGTTTTAAAAAAGCAGCTGTCAATGGGATTGCCATGGCAGGCTGAATGCTTTTGGCTGCAGGGAGATTTTTGTCTGTTTTCTGAAGTTAAAAAAAAATAATAAATTAAAATAATGACTTTGTAGGCTCTATTCAATAGCTTCCAAGTGTTCAAGAATAACCATTTTATTACCAAAACTTGTAGGGCTGGAAAGTTAGGACATGTTAAGTATAGTTGTTTAGTGCCAGCAGGTGTGTTTCATGTAGAGCCGAACCGTGGAGGCTGACGGTCAATGTGGGTGCTGGGTTCAGTTGCATCCTCCTGGAAGCCATCAGTGCTGTCCAGGGCGGTATCCAAGGGCAGGGCAGGCTCATAACCAGCCTTTCCCAGTACATCACTGGCCTCCTGAGGCTTAGGCTTCAGCGTCTTGTGTACAAGAATTTGTTTCTTGCTAGGCCTTTCCGATTTTTAGTTCTGATCGTCGTAGTCTGATTTTTTACTTACTTCTTCCCTTCCATTGGGAAAGGTGGTAGATAATCATTCTTACAAATGATATTGTACACAGCTTTATAGACTTCTGTTGTATCCCTTTGTTTTTTATTGTTTTCAAGCCGAGAAGGCTTCGTGGTTCCCTGCATGGAAGCTGTGCCATTTGTTAGGTTATCCTTCCTGTCTTGCTTGGTAGCTTTTTAAAGAATTGCCTAGTATAACCCCAAAGTCTTGTTCCCAACAGTAATAGATAACAATCGGCTCTGACCTACCTAGTCTCACATGTAGTATTTTACACTCCTCTACTTTGCAGTTAATCATCCAGTATTTCAGTGCTGTGAAGTTCTGATTCTTTGCAGTCAGTCCCTGTCCTTGCTACCATACCTGAGAGTAGCTTTATCATCAGGCTCCACCAGTTCCTTTTTTACCATCTATTCTGCACCATTAGTAGATATGCTTATCAGCTCTTTGGTGACCGTTTCTTTCCTGGTTCCTTGCCAGATAACTTTTTAAAAATATTTTTGAGTATATTTAGTCTTTTTTGAAACATAACTGCTCCAAAATATTGTAACTTATGTAGCATAGAAGTGCTACGTATTCTGTTACATGTTTGGAAAGCACAAATTTCAAGTAGCAAGGGAATGCTCCAAGGCAGATTGAAGTTAATGACATCAGTGGACTTTGGCTCATGTCATGAGAGTATTGACTGGGATCCCTGTTTAACAAATCCTTAGTTGTTATGTCTATTCACATTTATTTTATTGTATTCTTTTGTCAAGAAATATTAAGGTCATTCATGAGCATCCACAGCATCAGAGGCTTAGAAAGAATGTAGGCCATAGAAACTTGAAGGAATGTTGTGGTAGTGAAGTGTGGAAGTCTCACAACTGTCAGTGCCCTGATTGTTGGCGTTTATTTTTGTAACCTTCATTAAATGCAAATTGAGATATTTTTGATTTTTCTTTACAAAGATTTTCAGAAGTTACCCATTGAAGGGTCTGAATCCTGCTTTTAATCTAATGGAAGTTCTGAAGTTCAGAGTAGGATTTAACATCCAGAAGTCAAAAGGAAAGGCACCTGATCAGTCATGTCACTTGAAAAACTGCATTTTATATCTGTGCAAAGTAGTTAGTCTTTCTTCTACAGCTGATTAATGTAAGTTTTAAAAATTGCTTAACTTTTGTTATTATTAAATGTAGCGTTTGACAAATGAGATATGAAGCAATAATAGATCACTTTACAGTGAGCTTTTTTCATGGGAAAAGTGTGCTTATTATGCTTTAGATGAGTATTTTACACACGTCTACAAATGTACAAATTGCTCATGGAGAACAGAAGATGCTTCCTTGCCCTGAGAACTTGGAATGTGTATACTTGCTGAGAGTAATCACAGACTTTGCAGACTATCTCCAGACTTAGGACTAATGCCAGTTCTTCTGTATATTATACGAGTACAACTTTAATTTCTAGATCTTTCATGAAATGATGAGGCATCTGCCTGGCTGATGGGTAAAATATATTTCTAGTATTGCAGCTAGTGCTGCAAAGTCAGAATTTTGACGTTTCTGAGGGTATGCGTTGCTCAGAAGATGCTCTGGATTCTGGAAGTACTTGTGAACAGGACCCCACTGTAGTTTGAATTTTTCCAGGTTGTCTTACAAAGACTCTTGACTTTACTTTCTCTCCTTAGAAGCACTGAGCTTAACGACTATCAGACCACTTCAAATTGTTTGGGTAATGACAGTGATGAAGTTGTTGGTTTTCTTTGTTTGTTTAATCAAATCGGGGAGGTATTTAAAACTCACGTAGATACTAAATTAGAGTTCATGCATGATTGCTGTCCCTGCAGGAGGACTGTAGATCTCGGATATCTGTATCTGCAGATCTGACTTCAAAAAAATGCCATTCTGTTTTCTTTCAGTGAACTGGAGCGTCTGAGCAACCTAGTTGGTAAACCATCTGAGAACCATCCCCTGCACAATAGTGGACTGTTGAGCCTAGATCCTGTTCAGGACAAAACACCTCTTTACAGCCAACTTCTTCAAGCCTATAAATGGTCAAATAAGGTAACAGAATACATCAATGTAATTTAGTTGTGTATTCTTACAGAATGTTTGATTTGTGATGCAGTAGACCTCTGAGTGCTTGAGACTGTCAAAATTACTGAGTTTGTTATGAGGTTGAGGAGCATCATATGTACCTAAATATACTTCTAAGCATAACAATGGTGCTTTAATTGAGAGGAGACTTTTCTGCAATGTGTAGGTGTGCCCTTGTTTTTCAAAAGGGGTGTTAACTCCCAAGCAGAATAATCATAGAATGGTTTGGGTTGGAAGGGAGCTTAAAGATCATCTTATTCCAACCCCCCTGCTATGGGCAGGGACACCTTCCACTACAGCAGCTTGCTCAAAGCCCCATCCAACCTGGCCTTGAACACTTCCAGGGATGGGGCATCCTCAGCTTCTCTGGGCAACCTGTTCCGGTGCCTCATCACCCTCAGAGTGAAGAATTTCTGTCTTATATCTAATCTAAATCTCCCCTCTTTCAGCTTAAGGCCGTTACACCTTGTCCTATCACTACAGGCCTTTGTAAAAGGTCCCTCTCCAGCTTTCTTGTCAGGCCCCCGTCAGGCACTGGAAGGCTGCAATCAGGTCTCCCCGGAGCCTTCTCTTCTCCAGGCTGAACAATCCCAACTCTCTCAGCCTGTCCTTGTAGGAGAGGTGCTCCAGCCCCCTGATTATCTCTGTGGCCCTCCTTTGGACTCAATCCAACAAACCCATGTCCTTTTGTTGGGGGCCCCAGAGCTGGATGCAGGGCTCCAGGTGGGGTCTCACGAGAGCAGAGCAGAGGGGCAGAATCCCCTTCCTTGCCCTGCTGATCACGCTTCTTTTGATGCAGCCCAGGATACCGTTGGCTTTCTGGGCTGCAAGCGCACATTGCTGGGTTGTGTTGAGCTTCTCCTCAGCCAACACCCCCAAGTCCTTCTCAGAGCTGCTCTCAATCCATTTTCTGCCCAGCCTGTATTTGTGCTTGCGATTGCCCCAACCCACATGCAGGACCTTGCATTTGGCCTTGTTGAACTTCATGAGGTTCGCACGGCTTAGAAATTGGATAGGTATCTTTCCTTCTTTGCTCTGAATATAGTCTACTTGTGGGTTAAAAAACCTCCTTTCCTCACATCTGATTTTATTAAGTAAGTAAATGTTGCATTATAGCAATTATTACTGGTCTCTTTTGAGTACCGTTATGTTTCAGGTTGCCTGTTCCCATCCTGAATTTTTTGAGCATGCTTATTACTTTTTATAGAAATATTTAAATGAATATGTATTTAAAAGCTTTCTTGAAATTATCTTTGAAATACTAGTGAGCTGTTACAAAATGTAGAAAATGGATTCCTTTCTGTTATGATAATTGTTACTAGTGAGAGATTCCAGAGTTGAAGCTTTTAATAGCCTTACACAAGACAGCGAGAGTAAGCAAGAATAATAAACGTGAAAATATTTAGAGCATTAAAAGAAACAACTCCACTTTAAATTATTTATTGCGATGCATGAACAAGGAAGACTTTCAAGCTACACAAGTACTTCATAGGCAAATTCTTCTTATACATTGAGTCGACCAATCTAATATTATTCAGATTTAAAATAGAATACTACAGTAATGTTTGTATGAATACCACAATAATGTTTGTACAGTCACTTTTCAGAATACAAATATGTATTAATGTCTTCTAAAATCAGTAGAATTCAGCATTGACAGAAATTTGGTATGGTTGGAAAACAGGGGACATGAAGGATTTTTAAGTAGAGATTTATTAATTGAGAAAACGTTTCATGTTTGCTTGTGTTTCTTGCTGTTAGCAGCAGATTATTGGCAGTGAAGAAAAAATAATTTATTTGCTACTTTCAGAAAAAAATAAAACCATCTAACCTTTATACATGAAAACTTCTAAATGTGTAATGCAGTTAAGTCTTCAGTGATTTAATTACTTCTTTAGGTTATTATCAGAGTAAACTCAGCTGGTAATGAAGTAGCTTTGGCAGAGTTGTTCTAGTGGAGGTTTTTATTAACTTAGAGTGTTATAGAGCTTTGAAGAGCAGCTTTTTGTAACTCTGGATTCTGGTTTCAGACAGCAGAAAGTTTTGGCATCCTGTGCACACAGTTACATGTTCCAGGAGAAAAACCAGTTGTGTTTGTTTTTTTTTTCTTTTATCTCTGTTGTCTTTGACTTCTGTTTTACAGCTAAAATAAAAGATATTGTTTACATTGTATTTAAATAGCTGCTTTCTACCCAATGGTTCTTCTGAACATTACTAGCATCCTTTCTAGGGTTTGCAGTAACCAGCAGGCATGGGGAGGTTGTCCCTGTTTCTAACAGCAGGTGTGCTGCCTCTGGGAGGGTATTAGCTGCTGGATTTGCCATTAGTGGCGAAGACCCTATTGATGCTTGTTTATATGGCTGCTTAATTCTTCATTGCTAACTACACTTCCTGAGTAAGTGTTATTTCATTACATCTTTTGGCTGCCTTCTGTTCTTATTATGTGTGTCTGGTGTTTTCTGTTGCTTTGAAGAGAGGATTTAGATGTGGTGATGTGTCAATACACTTTATGTCTGTCTGCATTTAATTTTTAATTTGTGACCCCTTTGTGGCTTGCTTGTATTTTTGATGAGCTGAGATAAGGGCATTTTCCTCTCTCTTTGATTGTTCATGCATTACTGATGGCATGAATAGCCACATGGCTGCCAGGGGAGGATAGATGGAGTAGAATTTCAGGGCTATTCAAAAAGGCAATTCAAAAAGGACATTCATGAAATATAGGTAAAATGAGTACATAGACTTTGTTGCATGTTCCAATGCATTCTGTTTATTTTTAAAATGTGGGGAAGCTGGTAGTAGTAGCTTGTGGGACAAGAATGAGTAGGGTTGGTACTAACAACTGGGCTATCTCATGAGAAGCAAATTATTGTTCAGTGTGTCAAAGCACTATACATAGTACTATAGTACTATATTTAAAAAAAAAAAAGCTTTGCAGCATTATTTTTTATCTAAAATTGAAAGAACAATTAGAGGCCTGAAATGGTAATTCTTAAAAAAACCGCAAAACACCAAAAACCCAAACTAAAAAAACCCCAGCATATCAAAAGCTATCCTATATAATAGTCTGCTTGATTAAAAGCTGAGTTTTTTAGTTGGTTCGCTTATATCAGTATTTCTGCTTTGGAAACGCTAGTCTTGGCCAGCTTTTGGAGAATGGTGACAGTAACCTTCCAAACACCATAAACCACGTGAAGCTCTTCAAAGCATAGTAGTACCAAAATGGGGTTGGTTTTTTTTTTTTTTTTTTTTTTTTTTTTTTTTAGTGTATGAATGTACCAAAAACTTAAGCGGTTTTGTAAATCCGGACCATTACTTATCTATATTTGCATCTTTGTTTTGATGTTGGGTCAAGCAAATGCCCAATGTTGATCTGGTCTTGGATGCATTTTTGGGTTATGTAGCAGTGCTGGGTGGGAAGTGTAGTGGAGATCGTACTCACAGGCATAAATAGAAAATTCTGTTTAAGATATGAATGTTAACATAGGAGATTAGACTTACTTGACACTTCTCATCTACTTTTATTTACCACAGCTATGGCTGGTTATGTATTGTGAGGAGACTCACTTTTAGGTGCAAATTTACTGACCTAACTCTTTGGCTTAGTGCAGTAGAGGTTAACTGCATTTAATTGTGATTTCAGAGATATTTGCCCCAAACCTTACTTTACTGCTCCTGTGAGTCATAACACTGGTTCCTCTGTTTTTGAGTATCTTAAGTTCGCCTGCTCCAGGGGTACAGAAAAGTACAGTGGGAAAAAATTAAAACTTTCCTTATGGAAGTGTGTTACCTTGGCAGCACTTGTTATTTATTAGCACCTGCTATCCTGATATTTACTTACTGTAGTTTACCCAATAGTTTTGCAGATGGTAAAGTTGTCCATATAATGGAAGCAGCTGTTTGGGAACACAACAGCTTGACAAATGCATTAATTACATACACATGCAGCTGTAAAGGAACTTTGCTTTTCCAAGTCTTTAACAGAGCTTACAGCTATAGCTGAAAAACCCAGGAAGTTTAAGGTGATCTTACTGCAAGCAAGAGCTAAATGGTTTTTCTTCTTTGCTTTAGCTGCTTTTATGTATCAGTAGAAATCATATGAGTAAATTACTTTGCTGGCTGTGGGGTGCATGGAGGCATGTAGTAGTATTAGGTCAGTATTAGGTCTACTTCATAAATTTTTTTCCCCCCTCTTCTTCAATTTTATTTAAGAAAAGAGGTTTTCTTCATTACAATTGAAGTGCTGTTTCCCAGAAGGATCCATATGTGCCCGCTAATGTAATACTGAAGATATAATATTAGATAAGATAAAAATGATCCATCATTCTGTATGGGTAATGCAGATAAAGTATTACTGGTAAGTTAGGAAGTTTGTAGAAATTTTTTTTTTTTTTTCAGGTGGACTGTCTCTGTTTAGTAATTGTAGTTGAATTCTGGTTTAGTAGTTATGTACATCTTAGCTGTTGAATTTTTTTTGTAATAGGATTGTTGTCTCAGCAGCTGAAATCTAGAAAGGGTTTCTGGTTTATGCGTGCATGGCCTGATGCTACTTCAGAGTCGGGGCTGGACCTGCAAGGTGTTGCTGCCTCACCTCTCCTTACCAGGAGCTTGCTTCTTGCATTATATTGGAATTCAAGGGAAACTACCACAGGGGAGCATACATCAGCTATAAGTTTAGATGGAAGGAGTTTTAAAAAGTCACTTACTAGACTGAAATACTGATGAAGAGTAAAAAGAGATGTGACCTCATATTTGTGACCGGGTACTGGAAGAGCTCGCTTCTGTTGCCTTTCAGGACGCTTGCATAAGAAATGCCCTTATGCCTTCCTTCTTCCTGGGTGCTTCTTGTTTTCTGCAGTAGCTAAGACCGTGATCTCATGAATAAGAGTGTCATTTACTAAGCAACTGCGTGTTTCTTGATATTTGTTCTCAATACTGGGTGACAGAGGGGTTTTGTGGGCAAAAAATAC